TGTTGTTTGTTTGATATAAAAAAACGAAAATAAAACACAAGAAAAAAACAGGCGCAAATTCCCAGGGTCCCAAAGGAAAGACAAGGCTTTTGGATGCCTTATCCATTTCCAACAACTTCTTACAGGCGCAAAAAAAACAAAAATTTCATTAATCCTTCTTGATAAAAAAAAAGAAAATTTGGGAAAAAAGAACGTTTTTGATCATACAGACTGTATGATCTGAAATGTTTCTCGGACTTAAATTTTTTTTTTTTTTTATATGTACATTCATTTTTATGTTTCTATATTTGAAGGAAATACAATTTTGTTTTATTGTTATAAAACACATATTTAATTAATTTAATGGTAAAATACCTGCTAATTTTCTACCCAACCTCCCCTAATCCCATTATTTACATGATGAGGTAACCTTGTTTAACGCTGTTTCATATTACGCTCTACTTTGATTTTCCTTACTGTATCTCATTCATTTTCTTCCAAATAAACAAACACGTTGGGCGAAGATATTTTTATCAGATTTGGGTAAAAAAAACGATCTTTTCGCATGTTTCTTAAAGAAAAAACCGGTACAGAGCGCGAATTCATTTTTTTTCAATATGAAATTATATGGCGCTATCAAAAATAAACATTCAAACAAAATGCCCGGGTAGCTCATGGTAGAGCACGGACTCTTAATCTCGGGGCGTGGGTTCGACCCACGTTGGGCGAAATATTTTAATTTGATTTCGGGGTAAAGGGGCTATCTTTTCCCATGTTTTTAAAAAAAATACCGGGACAGGGCGAAATTTATTTTTTTTCAATATAAATTATGATGTGCGCTATCGAAACTAAAAAAATTCAAACAAAATGCGCCGCTGACCCGGGAGAGCACGAGACTCTTAAATTTGGTGTCGTGGGTTCGAGCCCCACGTTTGGCGAAGATATTTTAGTTAGATTTCGGGTAAAGGGGGGATCTTTTTCCCATGTTTCTTTAAAAAAAATACCGGAAGGCGCAATTCATTTTGTTTCAATATGAAATTATGATGTGTGTATCAGAAACTAAACATTCAAACAAAATGGCCCGGCTAGCCTCGTCGGGGAGCCCGAGACTCTTAATCTCGGGGTCGTGGGTTCGAGCCCCACGTTGGGCGAAGATATTTTAATTAGATTTCGGAGTAAAGGGAGCGATCTTTTCCCATGTTTCTTAAAGAAAATACCGGTACAGAGCGCGAATTCATTTTGTTTCAATATGAAATTATGATGTGCGCTATCAGAAACTAAACATTCAAACAAAATGCGCCCGGCTAGCTCAGTCGGTAGAGCACGAGACTCTTAATCTCGGGGTCGTGGGTTCGAGCCCCACGTTGGGCGAAGATATTTTAATTAGATTTCGGAGTAAAGGGGAGCGATCTTTTCCCCCATGTTTCAAAAAAAGAAATTACTGGTGCAGAGCGCGAATTCATATTTTTCAATATGAATATGATGGCCCATCAAAACTTAACATTCAAACAAAATGCGCAAGGCTAGCTCAGTCGGTAGAGCACGAGACTCTTAATCTCGGGGTCGTGGGTTCGAGCCCCACGTTGAGCGAAGATATTTTAATTAGATTTCGGAGTAAAGGGGCGATCTTTTCGCATGTTTCTTAAAAAATTACACGGAAAAAACCGGTATTCGAACTAGTACATAATACTCACTTTTTAAATACGTCACATACCAAAATAGCTCCTATGCAAACATACTCAAATTTGAGAATACCCCTTTTCTTATCTTTGGCAACGACTACTATAAAAATTTAAACATCACATACTCATTTTGAACCTGTTACTGGGTCAAATTTAAGAATATAACAGAAAATATGGTGCGTAAAGCACTCATGTATGGGTTTTTTTGGTCAAATATGGTATGTATCGTTTTATTTTTTTTTTGTGTATTTAATACGAATTTTTTTAAAATACAAATATATATCAAATCAAATTTAAAAAGGGGTCTAAATATGTGAGTGTGATACTTAAGTTGTAAATTTCATTTTTTTCCCTCTTATATATTTTTAAAACTACAGTTTTGAAGTTTTCCCTTTTCTTCGAAAATCTAAATTTTTTTTGCATTTTTTTTTTTGGTTTCTTTCATATCATCGCAAAAGTGCCAACGTTCAAGATAATTCGCCATGTTTCTCTTACGCGCAGAATTAACAGCCCTGTACTTCGTTTTTATATAATGTCCCAAAAGTTTTTTTATGGTGCAAGTTCCAACAAAAAAATAATTTTTTTTTTAAAAATGCCTTATATGTGATCATAAACTGTATTATTTTTTTTGTGAACTTATACCTCAAATTTTAAACTTTGAAAATAATAAAAAGTTCGATGCTATAGTTAAACAAAGGGCAATTTGGCTCATTAAAGTTATATTTATATTTCTAGAAGCAATATATTGTTTTTAAAATCTAATACAAACAGAAAATTAACTTTTATTTATAAAATCCTTTCAAAAAATTCTTAAAATATTTTTTTCATTAAAAGTGTCTTGGAAACATTATGATGAATAACAGACTTTTCATTTTAAAAAAATTTCTAAACAAAAAAAGTAAGAAAGGAATAGTTTCTTAACATATTATGTAACATAAAAAAAAAAACTTAAAAAAGTTCATTGGGCCCCCCCAGGTTGTGACCCCTCGCGTCCTTCTGCAAACATATTCCTATGTTTTTTGCGGCCACGATTAATTCAAAACCTTTCCAACCCAATACCAAGAAGATAAACAATGTAACATGTAAATGAGATTATTTAAAAAGTATAGAAGCTTTGATGAAAAGATATAGCGCGGCAAGTTTAGAGATACAGTGTGGAATTTTTCAGATCAAGAGTTATTAGTCCGATAGCTTTAGAAGGAATAGAAGTCCATTGAAAAGGGTTGGAATCGTCGATATAAAGTGAATTTATAGATATCTCTCAATAGGTGAAGGAAGGAGATTTAAAAAGGGAATATTTGATATAGGTGTTAGATGAATCAGTTTATTTTTATAATTAAGATAAAGGATCTAGTTAGGGGATCTGACTTGAATACTGGGTTTAATTGGGGTTAACTCTCTTTTTAAAAAAAGTTGTCAAATTAGAATTAAGTAATATAAGTTATTTTTTAAAAAAAGTTGTTTAAAAACTATTATGTCTCATCTTTTGATAATCCCACACCTCTAGCTTACGCAATCCCGGGAAAGACAGTCATCACAGGATGGTTTCCAATGCGAACGTGTATAATTCTGGGTTGGGGAAAGCAGGTGGATACAACGTTCTACCAAATGTACTTTTTAGGGTCAGAGAAATTAGAGTTTTGAAATTTTAAAAGAATAAACAAAAGTTACTTGAAATTCCAAAAAAATCTGTCGTTCTTTTAAAAAATCATCTCAGGGGAAAGGGCCCGAGGGTTCGATATTTGGTTCGGTGTTAGTGCAAAATACAGCCACGGATTTCCCAGCTCAAGGCTGAATTAGCAAAACTTTTCCCGCGGTCCAAAAAAAGAAAGAGTTCAAAACCAATTCTACGCGTCCCAGCAGGGAAGAAATCAGACCATCTGATTTTTTTTTACCAATTTTAAAAAAAGAAAAGTTTAGGTTAGGAATGCCCCAAACAGGTTGGTGGATCTATTTTTTGGGTTTTTCCCGAACCACAGATCCAAAAAATTATGGGAATGAAAATCCACAAAACGATACAACTTTTGAAGTCTTGGCTAAATTCGAAGAGATATTCTTCAAATTAAAAAAAGGGGTTTCAGAACGATAATATAGAAAGACGAGGTCAAAATGCGCATCGGATGCCTTTTTTGATGCTAATGGTAGAAACTGGAGGAATTTGAGATAGTGACGTTAGATTTATTAGGCCCGTACCCTATATCGGGAAAAAGACGTAACCCTTTTTATTTTTTGTAATAACCGATCATTTCGCAAATGGGCTGAAATTATACCTCTTAAAAAAGGGCCCCATCTCGTATTAGGGGTATTTTTTTTATAACTTTATATGCGTTATGGAGCTCCCAAAAAAATAATAAGTGATAATGGCCCCAATTTATATCCGAAATTTTGACATAAATGAAAGATTAGGCATAAGGCTTGAAGACTTTGCATATCAACCAAAACAAATCGGACTAAAAAGAGTTAATCGGATATAGGAAATGATTGCAAATTATGTTAATGATCAACACGATACTTGGGATCAATTCTTACGTGATTTGCTTACGTATTCGTACGGCGGTGAATGAAACAACGGGAAAATCACCTGCTAATTTTTTTTTTAGGTCGAAAATTGATTACACCATTTAAAAAACTAGTTATGATATGGGAAAAATTTAAAAATTAAAATTCAAAATATTGAAAAGATTTTTTAAGGAAGCTAGACTAATTAAAAAAATTAAACGGAAAGGTGGGAAAAATATTATAATAGACGTAAAAAAGACATAAAAAAAAAGGTAAATGATTGGGTCTTATTAGAAACACCCCCCCTGTAAGTTCAGCAGCCAACAAAGTTGTGCTAAATTTAAACAAAAATTTGGGACCTTATAGGTAATAAAATTTAAAAAAACAACAAAAATATTTAATATGGAAATCGGGAAAAAGATTAACAGTTAACATAGATCAAATAAGAATATATTAAGGAAATGTGCTCAATTTAAAACAGGTATCCCAAATAGTATAAGATAAGTCAAAAACTCGTACTTCGGAAAAATACATCAAAAGATTAAATGGTCACAATATGGAAAGAAAAATCTGCGGTGAAACGTGTTAGAGGCAAAAGGGATTGGTAACCAATCAAATAAATATAAAAAACAGAGGAATAAAACAAATCACTGGTCAGATCGCTTCCGTTCATTTGGGAATGAAAATAAAAGCAAAAGGATGGAATAATGGGGGGTATTAAAGATCGGGGTGTGTCGGGGAATAAAAAAAAGGGGAGAGAAAGGGAACCAAAAATATTAATAAAAGAACTTTGTCATCCAGTACTTTTCTAGGATAGAAAGAAGAGCAAAAAGAATCAACTGAAGTTCCATATGAAAAAAAAAATAATCTAAGGCCACGACGGAGAACAGAAAAAAAACCCCGACCAAAAAGGGAGAAAAAGGGGGGAAATCAAGGAAGGGGCGACAAGGAATTACAAGCCCTCAACAAAAATTCAGTACAACCGAGGAAAGAAAATGATAGCACCTCATCGTTGGGCGGGTGGTGGGGGAAAACATATAAAAAAACAGGTTGATTTTTTTTTATGATCTTCCAACAATGGTCGGAAGAAATTCAAAAAAGGAAATCTGGGGGGTGCTTAAAAGTTATATGCCAAGTCAAAACTACAATGAGTGTTTTTTAATTTTTGGGAAATTTTGACTTGTTAAAATTTTTTTTGGAAAACATTTGTAAACGCACATTTGTTTGCTTCGTGTATGACTTCGTGAGATGCGAAAAAATTTCCCTTTTGGGTTTTTTGTTATAATAGTTTATTGAAAAATGTTTGTAATTGTATAATATGTATATATATATATGTTGTTGTATTGTTACGGGGGGATCTGGTTTTAGGGGGAAAAACCGGCGTAGTCAGGGCATCAAAATAAAACGGGCTGCGCGGCTCATTGGGAGTTTTTTGGAACCAGATGTGGGAATGGAGATGAAAATTTATTGTGATATACAAATAATATATAATGAATAATTGTGAAATTGATTGATATTATGGAAATAGAGACTCAAAAAGTTTTCAT